GGTTTCCTTGAAATGGTTAAAAGTTGAGACTTTGTTAAGAGCTGAGACACAAAAGTGATTTCTCTGTTATCTTCACGTCATTAGACTTGTAATTTCTCAACATAAATTAAACCCCCTACTACCGTGTTTGACAAGATAAATTGGCAATATATTCCTTGCATATATTTATTTTATTATGTATGGTACTGTATGTTTCTTTGTAACATGTTATCATTAAAAAATCACATGTACAAATAGACGTACTATTTTAAAAGTACAACACAAAAGTTTTTTCACCGGGTTATCTTGTCTTTCTTCTGACGTCCCCGCATAGCTTTTGATGTCTCACTGTTGTTCTCCTTTGTTACCTTTGCCGCTAGGCTTTGCAGGGATCCTTCTCGTTTTAATATAAGATTTTTTTTGTTTACTTTTATTCGCTGAAACTTTTGCAATTTCGCTGCTTGTTTCTCGTAAAGAAAATCCTTTATAGTTATTCCGAGGCAAATCCTGTAAGTTCGATTTTTTTCAGTCTTCCCTTGGCTTATGGCTGCTTCTACGAAAACTACTATGGCTAAAACAAAAGAAAATCTCCACGATCCTTCGCTAAGCGGTTGTCCCTAGATATTGCCGAGATTGCGTCTACAATATCTAGTGAATTTTAGTGATCTCCCAACATTAAATTTAGTGAATTTTCAGGCGGCTTGAGATGATCCACATACAGAAGATAACACAAGTCTATGGGCAAAGTCGGCCCAACGAGTTGGACTGCTTAAAGCAAAAGGTTTTTTTTGGTTCCTAAAAAGTAACAACAAATGAAAATATGAAAAATATTCGAACACTAAACTTAATTCCTTTACAATCCGAACTCAACCACTACTAAGTTTTTCTTTTTGTTTGGTTTTAGACCTTTTCGAAATAACAAAATAAACTGATGTATAAAGCTTTTGCTTGTTATTAATAGCCAAGAACCAGCCATGTCTAGGGAGAATGGGACACATCCATGATGATTTTAAAGAAGATAGCTCCTGAGTTTCAAGGTCTTCCATTTCTGCGAGCCATCCAAAAATAATGTGAGAAAAAGAAAAACAATTCACCCTAAAAAAATATAATTCGTAATATTTGAACATTGATGCATATATATTTATATGGTCATGATATATTATATAAGGAACCTAATAACTCAATAATTGAAGAATCATTATTTTATTTTTTTGTTTCTTCTTGAGTTCATAATACCTTTTAATGTCAATGTAATAATCTTACGATTTTATTTTATTTGTTTGCTAAATTACAAATAGCATTTATGAAATGAAAGTATATCAATAATCTTACAATTAGTTTGCTCTTAGAAATATAGATATTGTCACCCTTTTTTGTTTGTCACAATAATATCGTATATCAATAGATGTCCGAAGATTTCTTTAACCTCCCTTAAGAAGCTAAAATTTATAAAGAAAGAGTTAGATAAATTAAAGTGGCTTTTGCTTAAAATGGTTAAAGGTTGAGAGTTGTTCAGAGCTGAGACATAAATGTGACTTCTCTGATGATTTCATGTCATTGTAGTCTTATAGAAATGTAATTTCTCAACCAATTAAGTTCATAGCCAGCTTCACGTCAATATAGGCATTGCGAAATAAAAATCTATTTTCTTGTTCTGTTGTTCATACCATGAACTTGTTAGCAAAAATGAATTTTTTTTATTATGAACTATGGGAGTTCTGAACATTTGACTCATAATATTTTCGGTATCCTAATGCAGTTTTTGGATATTCCGATTTAAAGAATAACCCTCCATACCAAAAGGTGTTTTAACCCGGGACACAAAGGAACCAACCCCTTATGTTATCACTAGGCCATGACCTAAAAATGATTTCTTTTATAGTGTATTAATTATTATAAACCATCGCTCAAAAATCTAAAGAAATTGTAAGTTTTCTTTAATCGTGTATTATTTATTATGATATATTAAAAGTTTAAAACTGATTTCCTTTGATAAAATGTTTCAATTTCTTAAAACGGGTAAACGTTCAAGCCGTGGAGAAAATTTTGTGTGCACACGCCAAAAAGCTGATTGGAGCTTTGTTAATGACGAAGCTCGATATTTATCAGTTAGATTCTCATTCTATTTTTTTTAGTATTGTCTCTATGTATATGAAATAGTGAAAAGTGTTATGGTTGATTCTTTAGTTCATGGAAACATATGATGACCATAGTCTTTATGATTGTTTGCTCTGTTATGGGATTCTAGATAATTCATGGAAGAGTGTTCTTGAGATTTACTTAATGTGAAACAATAGGATATCGTTTGATCCTTGGTAAAAAGAAAAGGTTCTAAATCCTCAAAGCCGAATCTGAAACCTGCATTATTTTAGGTTTTGGTTTTGCGTTTCATAATTTTAAGCACAAGTTAAAAGCAGTAGACAATAAAACACGGTCAAATGATAGAGTTTGTCTAAAGAGGAGACAGAGAATGCTATAATAAGTATCCTTTTGGACCTTTTCGGTGGTCCTAATTCCTATCTCAACATTCATGTGGTCATGTTCTCATTGCATTTCAAAATGCATTTCTAAAATTTTCTCTATTAATCCCTATCTTAATCATATGCTCAATAGAGAAAGCTCTTCCAAAACCAGTGTAATTCCTCACATGTTAAATTTGTTCTCTTTCAGGAAAAACTAGCAGAGAAGATGACTCAAAGAACTACATTAGAGAATAACATTGCAAGTAGGGGCCCAACGTTCTGGTCGTGTGCGTTGTGTTGGCCTTGGTCCAACTCCTCCGACATTTTTTCAGAATCACACCTCTCCAGCGCCAAGTCAAACAGAAGTAATTGGATTGAGAAATCGGATTCATGAATTAGAAGGAAAAGTGGTGAAGGTGAATGAGTTAGATGACAAAGTGGAGAAGTTGAATAGTATTATTAATAGCCTTGTTAGCTCCAACTGCAATTACAAGAGGTAAAACTATATCTTTCTATAATCTTTATGTATATAAAATAGTGAAAACTGATGGGAGCGTTGTGACTATTGGTTAGGCTTTTATTTTTGACTTTGTGTTTTATGTTGCAAGTTACTTTTGACTATAACTTTTGGTTGTTGTTTGCTTGAATATGTTTCTTTTTTGAATATAAGTCAATTTTCGTTTTCCTTATTTGATAAGTGCGTAATTGTTGGTTTGATGTGTGATGCAGAATACAAGTTAATATGGATAATAATAGATACTGAAACAATATATGGTTTTTCACTTTATATTTACTATCTTGTAATGAATCTGTGAACCTTGTATCTGCAGATTTTTTATTTTTCATTAATAAAGCAGAAGTCAATTTCATTTTAGTTTACTATTTATTATTTATTTTAAATGGTTTTCAATAGCTGAATCATATTAGAATTAAATATATATTATCAATTAAATATCTGAATTATAGTGTCATTTTAAAAAGTGATGCTATTGTTTTAGATTCATTGGATTCAACATCATTTTTACAGATGATTTTGTAATTCTAGTATCACTTTAAAGGTGATGAGATGCTAAGTTAAAAAATAAATGATGTTAAAAATAGTTATTTTTTGTAGTGCCACTACACATTTGGTAGAGAAAATGAACTTGTTAGCTGTTACTGATTAATAATACTAAATGCATGGGTCATGTTTCTACTAAACTACTAAAATAAATCCTAACAAAATGGGTCACGAGTTCTTTATAGGAATAGATTTGGTAGACTAAAATTGTATACATTACTATCAATCATAATCTTGTTTTTATCTTGTAACGTTGTGTCGTGTCCGTAAGTGTGATTGATTTGGCACGAGTATCATGTTTCGTCGGTGTCTATAAACAAATGGTTTTAAATTATCAATCATAAAACAACTGATCTAAGATCAGAACGAACAAAAGAAACACAGCTTTTCCCTTCGGTGGACGTAAGAAAATCAGGATAGTACCAAAAATATTTTTATTTTTAGTATGTGAAATTCACAATTGTTAACAACATTTCAAAATCTTATAGAAATTTATAATCAAATCAACAGTTTGAAATATAGAGATTTCAAATAAATATTTCATAACTTACAACAATGCTTTAAAAAAAAAAAGACTTACAACAATTGATGGAAAAATAGTAAAATTTTGTAACAAGCTATTAGATTTCCTTGGTATGCAATACCATGTCAAGTATTTTTCTAATATAACTAGAATATGTAGTAGTTTCTGTTAGTTTTGTCGTTATGTTATCATCCAAATTTAAATTCACATAATATAAGTGTTTGAAAAAAGTATTTTCTTAAAACACTATTTAAATTGTTGAATTTAAATTTAGATCTAATGATTTTATCGCATGTATGAAGTGTCAAAACACACTTATTGTGAACTTTGTTTTTTTTATGGATCATTGGTATTGGGCTCATTAACTCCTTTTTAGAGTTGAAAAAAAAAAAAAAAATTAATAGCTCCTTTTTAGAATAAATTAATTAACATCTTAACG